AAAAATAGCTAGTTTTGAGCCTTAAAATAAAATTACCGATCAATTAGAGATTTTCTATAACTATCTGATATGAGAAGCATTTGAAGCATCTTAGGTTATCTAACAAAGTCGACGAAAAAAAGAAAATTTTGGTTAATCTTTTTTTTTTTTTTTGGCTTAAAAAAAGAGTATATTTAAAAGGATTTTCAATTCCAATCTTTTGGCTCACTGCCAATCTCTCAAAGATAAAATCAATTCATGAATGATCTCTCTCTCTCTTCTCTCTTCTCTCCTTCTCTACAAAATTTATACTATTTTATCACCCAGATTCATTAAAATTTTATTTATCATTAGAGGCAACTCTCATGATTAATAATTCTTAAGAAAGATAAATTTTCATTAACTATTATTTGCAAATAAGCATGAACTAAAATAAATATTCTAAATGAATTCTTTCACATATGTTGAGACCCCCTATTTTTCTAAATTTTTTGAGGTTTATAGTATATATATATATATATATATATATATATATATATAGTATATATATATATATTATATATATAAATATAATATATATATATAATATATATATATATATATGTATATATATATATAACATCATTCATTATCATTTTCTACTTAAGCTTCCATGGAATCAATTTATCTATTAATAAACTTTAGTCTCAAAAGTATCAATTGCCCTAATTAAATCCTCAACTATGCTAAAATGATTCCAAAATAATCCTCAATGTTGTTAATTTTGGATGTAAAATTGATCACAATTTAGTCCAATTAACTTGCTAAAATTTGATCTCCAATTTTTAGTCTTATAGGGATATTTTTAGAATAATTTTATTATAGTTGAATGACAAAATAAAAATAAACGTTATACTTTAGAATTAAAATGCCATATATGAATAATGGAAAAATATTTTAAAAATTTAACCCCATATTATATGACACAAAGTTAATCTTCCTACATCAATCCCATTATCTAAAAATAATACCAATGGCAATGTGCCCTTTCTTGTTTTGTTATGCAAACATTTATTTATCAAACTTCCAATAGTTGGTATTAAAATACTTCTTGTCATACTAAATATTTCATTCCAATGATTTAAAACCTTTTTTTTAATTGTTTAGGTTTTTTGAAAGCCAATCATTTATGTGCTACCACCTTTTTTTTAATGTTTTAGAAAACTTTATGGAATGTTTCAGATGGATATGCTCTTAAATCAAAATATTTTATTTAAAAAGATATTAATCTTCTTAAATTATCTAGCATTGAGAGATATGCAATAAAATGATTTCCAGCAGTATTTTTAATTATTTCTAACTAAAAATATTGCATCATTTTTAATTAAGCCTATTTTTTAAATTTTATCATATATTATCATTAAAGGTTATAAAATTTATTTATTAAAATATCTGATATCTAAATCATAATATTTACTTAGCATAATATTCAAATCTTTAGATCACAACATTAAAAAACATCACTAATATTAATTATATTTAAAATTAAAATTGTTATTTTTATATTGATTTAGACACTTAAAATAATACATAAAAAATATAAAAATTTAAAAAATATTAGATATCCATATATATACAATTTTTTTTTATATATTCATAATAACCATGAAAAATACTTTGTTTTACTCAATATATGTTACGTGTAAATAAATTGAGTCAGCTAACCAACTCTCAAACTTGAGGTTAACTAAACAAATTCAAGTTTAAGCTTCATGTTCTAGTTTATTTTACAATTTTTTTTTTTAATTTATGTAATTTTAACTATTTTTTTTTTATACAAAAAAGAACAATAACATTCCATAAAAAAAGAGCGATTACAAGAACAAAAAGCAAATGCAAAATAGAAGGGAAATAAAACAAACCCCGAGGGCTCAGATAGGAAGGCCGAGACTACCAGCTTCCCATAAGACAAGCTCGGATCGTCCAATTGGAGGAACCAAAAGTTGAAGCCACCATCCTAACGAGTTTAAAACCAAGGTTGCCACGAGCCTTAGCAATTATGGAAAAAGTGAGCCCAGCCACATCAATTGCCATCACCAACAACAAAAATAATATAAACAAGATCTCCACATCATTGCCAATGAGAGTACCAAAACTAGAGCCACACACCATCACCAAAAAGGATCAGCCCAACCAAGTCCAGAGAACATAATATTGTACAACCAAACCAAAATGCCACCCAAAAAGAAACCATCATCTTACCACGATCTACCCCTTCCACGAGCCCTACCACGAGAGGCAACGGATAGAGAGGTTTATCTCGCAACAAGGCAAAGAATGGCCCAGATCCTGCATCCTCAGACGATTCAAAGTGTACTCAGAATCAGAATAAGTCGAGTCTTGTAGCCCAAATCAATTGCACACGAATATCAAATCCCGAATGTATCCCACATGATACACTAAACTTGGAGGATCCAATTAAAACGTAACAAGGTACATCCACAAAATTGTTGTTAACTAAAAACAGTCAACCTATGACTGGAAGAGAACTGGGGAAGTTAGCAGCACCTCACCAAACCCCTGCAACCAAACTTTTCAGACGGAGAGCAAGCAGCCTCATTGAGGGCAATCCAGACAACAGGCTTAAAGAAATTTCACCTAAAAAGAACAGTCGGGACAGACACCACGCGATCAGCACCGCATTATTCATCAGCACTGAGACAAAGTATCTACGAGGAGACCACAAAGTGAACCTAAAATAACCTGAAATGGAACAAATAGCGAGAAAGGGTAAAGCATCGGGGACAAAACAACAACCCCTCACCAGGCTAACAACTTTACGGGCACGCCAATAAATCACATTATTTTTCAGCTTTAAATTTTCACATTCTTAATCACTAAATTTTGCTTTGATGGGTATTCAAATCAACCAACTGAACCACGGCTGCGCACCAAATTCGAAGTAAATGGAAGAATATGTTCGACAGAAACAACGCTCAACGATTAAGAAGAAGGGAGAATTGGATCCGAACATTAAAATCGCTTCTTAGCTAACCTTAGACAGCACAATAATAAATCAACCTCACCACCCGGACGGCAAATTACCCCGACAAATGCCTAAATTTTTTACATGAGAGAAAATAGGAAGGAAATTCCTTCATACCAACATGCTGAACATACCCAGAAGAATCAGGACCCTAACCAGGACCGATCGGGATAGAATTTATGTTAGCATAATAATTCCACTAACACACGAGCTAGAGATGCCTAAACTTAATAGCGCAGTAGCATGTATCGATATTGAGGGCTTTCAAAGTTAAACGAGCATAGAAGTATGCGGGAGAGAAGAGATGGGCGCAGGCAGAGGGGAAAGTACACCCAAATGGAGTACAACCAGGACTGCAACGCCTAATGTCCCGAAGAGGCAAGCCATTTGGTGAGTTTCAATAAAGCAGCTTATAAACTTAAAATAGATCGCATGGCTAAAAGACGCCGACAATAAATCAAGTTATTTTTTAAGGCTTAATGAGGTATATAGACGGTCTTAGCAACGTAACAGGAAATATTCACGCATTGCAATCTAGATTGAAGAAAAGCCACGAATAGAGTCCAAAAGAGGATGTTATAGAAGGAAAAAAATTCGAACAGAGAGACTAGAAAGGCACGGCCAGCACAGAGTTTTCTTGCTCTGAAATCCAAAGAGAGCGAATACGACAAAAAAGAAGAAACGCCTAAGCTCCAAAAAAATGGGGTTTATCATGAAAAAAATTAGGGATGATCAAAGCAATTTTTATAACTAAAATATAACAATTATAAATTAGATATAAAAGAATATTAATTGAAATCATTGAGGCTAAGCTTTATTTATCATATGATAAAAAATAAGATTTTTATGATCAAGCAATTTTTTAATAAATAGAATAAGAAAAGTGACTTACAAATAAAAAAAGAATAATAAAAAGAAATGCAATTGAGCTAATAAGAGAGAGAGAGAGAGAGACTTTAAAATATTAAACTTAAACTATTACATTCTAATATATTTTAAATTTATGTATAATTAATTATTTTTTTAATGATTCAACTAATAAACGCAATAAGTCAAGTTGGTGCTAGACGTCGAATTCAAATATGATTCATTATCTCATTAATTCTTTTCGTTTGGAACAACTTTTTTACAGCTTTCTATAACTTTTTAGTACACCAATTTTTAGTTCGAGGAATTTTAATTCTAAAAAATTACTTTAAAAAATTATAAAAAATTTGTCTCAAATAAAGCTTAAATTCACTCACAAGCCACTTATAAATGAGCCAGCTCACAAATCTGCTTGACTCAACTACACCTCTACTTGCAAGACTAATACCTTCTATCCATATAAAAGATTGTCAATGATAAGCCTCCCATAATTTTTTCTATTGATGCATTCTACTATCATCACTTGGAGCACTTGAGGAATAATTTTGTACAAATGAAGATATTCAAAATAATTTATAAAATATGAAGGCTTTGTCATAAAAACAATAAAATTATGCTTGCAACCTTCAAGGGTTGATTTTGCAAAAATCATGTGGAATAGATGATTCTGGCACACAGCTAATGGACTTGAAAAACTTGTGGTATACTCTTACTGGCAAATAAAAATTTTGAAACTATAGCAAAATTATAATGCGGGATTTACATGCATCCCATAAAATTCTTATATATTTTCATATTTAATATCTAAATTTCTCATATAAAATTTTAGTTTCTCAATCAGATCAAAATATATACTTAAAAAGATCAAAATGATCCATTGACTCTTTATAAAAAGACAAATAAGCCTAACGTGAGACTATTTGGATTCATTTTTAAGGGCATGAGGGATCAAAATGATCTTTAATATATTTTAGAATTATTTTGATCTTTCGTAAAGAATTAAGGGGGATCATTTTGATCATTTTCCCATATGAAAATACATAACTCTGGTATATATGTAAATCCCAAAATTTTAATTTACAAATAATAAAAATATAATAATGGAGCATATGCAGCCACAAAAAAGAAATGCACGACACATTGACACTAAAGAAATGTATACAAAACAGAAATTTACTTGATATTTCCTAGTATATTGGCTTCATGTATATTTTAAAATAGAACAAATATCACAGCATTTATAGCCTTAAATCACCTGATGAATTTGCTTGTTATTGCAAATAATCCTATTTTTCTGATCATTTCTTCTATATGAAGCGCTGTAAGTTTGTGTTTAGTTCAGAATAAGTGCACCCTGCCAACCAAACATAATAATAATATTCACTGATTATTTGGAAATTTATATGAAGAAGAATTGAAAAATAATTACAAGAACGTAAATTATTTTTGCTTAAAAAATTATAATAGGAAAGTGAGCTGTGTAGAGTTTCTAAGTACTTACAGTGTCAAGAAGTTTGAGGGCTGCAGCACGCGTGAATTTCCTTGCAAAGAGGAAGCATAGCGATGGTTTACCTCTGCTGCTACACCACTCTCTCCTGTACTCTGTCTCGTAGTATATGTTATCTATTTTCTGTTCAAGATCCGAAGTTAACAGTTATGTAAATACATTTATAATAGCAATTCATAAGCATAATAGATGTCCTGATCATTAGTAAATTGTTTTTCAACAAATTTGTCCCTCAGGAGCTAAATCAAAATCAACTTTGTATAATTTATATATGATGGATCAATTTGAATCAATTTTGTATAGATGAGGGACAAAATTGAAAAAAAAAGGTGATACACTGAAATTAAATTGGGCAAAAAAGAAAAGTTAAGGGACTATTTTGGAATTTAGTCACCAAAGTGATTTGTTATGCGTTTTTTTCCAATTAAGACTCTCTTGGCACTTGATGAATAGCTTGATAGCCATTTTTGTAAGATTTGTTCATATTTATCTATTTACATTTTAATTGAAAATATTGTAATAGTCACTTCTTTATTTGTTTCGAGGAATATACTCGTTTATAGTTTAATACTTAGTTAATTAGTAACTCAATAAAATGCTACTTTAATGATGGATTAAGTGCTTATTTGATCACTTGTTCTCTATTCTTGTAACAATTTTTCAATATCTTCTATATATATATATATATTAGGTGTATAAGTATGATGAAAATATAAAACAAATTACTATACATATTGTTTAAAAAAAATTTCTTATTAATATTTGTGCTACATATGGAAGTATACAGAGAATAAGGAGGATCTACATATGATATTTATTGATTTAGAAAAATCATATGATAAAGTTTCAAGAGAAATGCTATAGAGAGTTCTAGAAAAGAAAGGGATTAATAATACTTATATTTAAGTCATAAAGGATATGTAAGCAAAAGTTGTTACTTGTGTTCAAACACAAGGTGGTTTGACCAAGTATTTTCCTATTTCAATTGGATTACATCAAGGATCAGCCTTAATATCTTTTTGCTTTAGAGATGTTCTCACTAGACATTTGCAAGAGGTTGTACCCTGGTGTATGCTTTTTGTTTGTGATATTCTTCTTGTTGATAAGTTTAGAGAGGGAGTTGAAGATAAACTTGAATTATGGAAGTCAACCTCCAGAGTTTAACCCACCACCTCCACTTCAAATAGAGCCTTGTGCAACCCCATCCTGTGAGAACCCCAACCTACCTCCACTCCCCAAATATTCCTGAATTACATATAGCGGAGAAGGTTAACATGATTCCGAGTGATGACATTATTTTCACAATTGAAGGTGGGCGAAGAAGATATTTGATGAGGTGGAGAGGTACACCAGAGTCAGAGGATGCATGATCAGAGCGCAAGGAGCTATAGCTGATCGACTACATGAGAATTCTTGAGGCACCCACTCGACGGAGTCGAGTTTTCTTTCACCTGGGGAGAATGATGACATCGGAGATCAACGACTACAATCTTGAGTCGATTTATTTATGTGTTTTATTTTATTTTATTGTTTTTCCCTTTTTACCCTTATGGGTGGTCATGTAGTGTTGTAGCCCAAAGGGCATTTTAGTCGTTACCTCTTTTCTTTTCATGAGATCTATTTATAGGCTAATTTCTTGTAATTTGAGAATGATGATTAATATGAAAAAAATTTCAGCTTGTGCTTATGGATCTCTTCGTGAGTTCTAATTTTTCTCTCTTTGGATGATTTCTTAGTGAGTTTATGAGAGGAGAGGCCCAAGTGGGGCAAAAGTAATACCCGTCAATCTTGGTTTGGTGGATGCCAAGGTTCGCGGTTCTCTTGTCTTTCTTTTTCTTCTATTTTTCCTTGCATCAAATTCCCTCCCCAAACTTCTCACCCGCCGGTCTCATTTTCCCCAAAGCCTTTCTTTGTAATTCTCCCTAACCCGAGCCCCTCCCCTTGCCGCCGGCCTGCTTGGACCCCCTAGCCGTTGACCATCACCCCCCCTCATAATTTCCCCCTCATTATGTTGATTTCAATCACCATAATGACTTCCTAATTTAGCTTAAGCGTGAGAGGGAAAATTTGAATTCTTTTTGGAACTTCAAATTCGAATTTCAAATTCTTTCCATATAGGGAATCCTATATTAGGAAAGTATCAATCATGAATCTAATTTCAAAATAAATTAAATTGGATTTATTATTCCCTTTCCTCAATTTGAAATTTGAAATTCAAATTTCAAAAAAACTTTCCTTATTTGTAAATCTAAATTAGGAAAGTACATAACTCCAAGTCTACTTGAATTTCAAATTGGATTTGAGTTGTCATTCTCTTTCCTAAATGACATAAATTGATTTGGAAGTTACAAAACCTCCCCCAAATCCCTCCCTCTCTCTCAATGTCGCCGGCCCTATCATGATGGGCTCCCATTCAATTCTCATTAATTCCCCTAAGATCTATTTGAAATTTGAAATCAATTTCAAATTGATTCCCTCCATCCTCTTTGAAACCTGAAATTAATTTCAGGTTTATTAATTTTCCTTTCCCCCCATTCATCAATCTTTTTCATCCCTCACCCAAGTCACTCGCCCCCTTCCTTGGAAATCTGAGATTTTTTTTCCACCAAGCTATTGCTCAGGCTTCTGGGCAAGTCCAGTGATCCGTCCAAAGGGTTCCTAGCCTTACAAGCTGCTGTTCCTGGCATTCCAGTTGCTGTCCAGCATTCCAAGTTGGTGTAATTTGCTGTCCAAAATTTTGGAGTCAAGAAAACTGCTGTCCAGCATCCTTGAGGACCAAACGCTGCTGTCCAAAATCTACCCCAGGCCGCTTGCTTGCTGTCCAAAGACTCCAGCAAGGATTTGTTGTTGTCCAGCCACCCAAGAAGCCGCCAGTTGTTGTCTACTTCCTCTCAAACCTGCAGACTACCACCATAGCTTCGTAGAACTTCTTTCTCTCGGTAGACTCTCCCTCCTAGTCTCTTATTTTCCTAGTTTACCCCTCGGTTGTGGTTATTGTGAAATCATGAAGATAATGTTAATACTTCTCCGCTAACGCCTAGAAATTGGAAAAGTTGATTGAGGGATTTTCTTGTGGAAACTAATCTTATTGTTAGCATTGGGATTTATTGTTTAAACCATTCATGTATGCAACGTTAGATTAACTTGATTGTTTTCTGATCTAAACTTTTATACACGTGATTCCGCCTAAGCTTATCTTACCGCTCTTAGTGTTTTATTGCGTCATTAAAATTCACCATTAAGATATAATTATTTGTTATAGGAATATTAAGTGTGCAAATTCATTAAGCAATTCATCTCTACATGTATGTTTCACATCATAAATGGGGATATTATTAGTAGAATTCAAGTTGGATGGTTGAAGTGGAGGAATGCATCGGGCTTGTTGTATGATTGAAAAATTCTCCTCAAACTTCAGGGAAAGTTCTATAAGATGGCGGGGAGACCAGCATGCTTTATGGAGCAGAATGTGGCTGTTAAAAGAGAAAAATAATATTAAGTTAAGTATTGTAGAGATGAGGATGCTCATGTGGATAAGTGCATTTATTCTTAGAGACAGATGTGGGCTCCAAAAATTCGGCCCCGGCCTCCGCCCGCTTTTCATTTTTATTCGGCGATGGAGTTTTAACGGAATAAGTTCCGAGGTAAATTTTGGAAGGCAGATGGGTTTGTAGATAAGACGAGAATGGATCCTAGTGATATTTTCGACTAGGCATTTGGCTCTTTGTGAGCTGAAGTTTATTTGAATTTGTCCACCCTGGCAAACTGTTGCGGAGGGTGGATGGACTTTGCTTTAAGTGCGTTGATGGATTTATTTCATTTTAAATATTTTTGGGATTTGAAATTTTGGAGTTGTTGAGTGGAGCTTGGATTTTGAATGGACTTTTGGGAGACATTTGAAAATATTTGGCAACCCCTCCGGTTGGGATCTGCATTCAACACGACCATCATCGGGGTGTTTGGGGTCATTTCTCTTTTGTTGATTGAACCCTGTCAACTCGACCAAGCTATTGATCGAGGATCGGGTTTCGTAGGATGTGCCCTTGTTAGTGAATTCTTCGGATTATAAACTTTGAAGGCCTAATATGAATGTATTAAAATAAATACTCTGGTCGCCACGGCCACATATTTGTTTGTTGGTTTGAACCTTGTCGACTCCTATTGATTTATATAGAAGGATCGGGTTCGAACTTGAATTCACTTATCAGCCCGCGCAGCATCCCTAGACGTCACGTGTGTACCAATAACACGCTCGCCGGGGCCCATGCGGGTGTTTGGGGGCATTTTATAATTGAACACTGTCAACTCCTTTTTAACTACCTAGGAGGATCGGGTTTAAATTTAATAACCCGCGCAGCATCTCTAGACGTCACGTGTGTACCAATAAAACGCTCGTCGGGGCCCATGCGGGTATTTGGGAAATTCATTGATTTGACATACCCCTTTGTGTACTTATGTGTATACAAGCTACGGTGCACGTGCAGGGGTACTTTAAAATATTTTAGTTGTGTAGGTAATTGGCATCTAAATACACAACATTTCACTTGAAAGTTTATACACGCCTTCTGTTCGCTAGTACGAGTATTGCGGATCCGGTGGCGTAGTATTGTAGTTTGTGGACGTCTTCTGTCTGCTTGTACGAATGTTGCAGATCCGGTGGCGTATCGTGGCAGCTTCTGAATTGAGTTGTTCGTTGCTTTATACAGGCAGACTGTCGTGCACTATGGTTGCTTTCTGCAGGTGGATCGTAGTGCACTAACTAATCTCCTGCCTTACATTTGTTGCCGACTGCATTCATTATAATTGTTTCATGTTTTCTTGCAGATCGTGTACTTTGTGTACAACAAATTTTCTGCAGCGACTTGTAAGAGCTTGCACTTATTGAAGGTCTTCTGCATTTTGTTCGTCGTCATTCGTAGATGGACTAATGAATACATGAAATGTCATCTACATTTGTTTGTAAATGCCCATATATATTGTAAATCATTGTCCCCCATCATTATCCGCCTTCAAGTTAATTGATGATCTATTACATTCACTTATATCTTTGTTAGTAGCTCCCTTTTGTAGATTTACAATACCCATGAGCCTTTCTTCATGGATTAACACTTTCATTATACATTCTGCATGATCGCCACTTTTATGAGCTATCTATTGCGTGCATTATAGCTCATTGGTTATTTGACACATATGCTTGCAATTTAACCTCGTATAGAGGTTGTTATACCTTCATGTATTGTTTGTAAATGTATCACTACATTCATAACTCATTCAATATTATCATCTATTGGAGCACTTGTACGATAACCATTGAGTTGAAATGATGATTCTTACTAGTTATTGCTTGGAGACAAGTCATGTTTGATTTTGTGAATGATCTCATAGGTTCTAATAGCCCCCATATCATAGCTTCACAATCTTCTTCTTATTTGCAACCAAATCC